ATCTCAACCAATACCATCTGAACTGTCCAAGTTGGAAATTGTTCTGGGCTCTATCTCTCTTACACACAGAAGAACATAAAATAATTGAATACATTAAAATGGCTATTAAATGTGAGAAGGTTGATATAAGACTGATGTGCTTAAACCCTGGGTATATTTAGGTTTGTTGGATATGATGCATTGCCCAATTTCAAGAGTCAAAAACAGTTTCTGGTTTCAGAGACATTCAATATATGTAAAACATTGATATTTAAGAATGTATAATCCCACTGAATTATTAATAGATTGTTATCAACTTCTGTGAAAAACTGGGAAGCAGAGCTGAGGATGAAGCATTGCCTCTGCACATCTTTTATTCATTCACAGGATTTGTGTGTCACTGGCTAGGCCAACATTTAATGCCCATCCCCTAATTGCCCAGAGAGCAGTTTAGATTTAATCACATTTCTGTATGTCTGGTGTCACAAGCAGGCTGGACTAGGGAAGGACAGCTTTCATTGAAGAACATTAGTGAATCAGATGGATTTGCACAACACTAACCAGCAGTCACATGATTACCATTAGGCTAATATTTTTTTGTTCCAGATTTTTACTGAATTGAAATTCATTATCTGCCATGATAGGAATTGAACCTGTGTCCTAGAACATTAGCTTTGAGGCTCTGGATTACTGGCCCAGTGACTTTACCATTACACCTTGCCTTATTAATTCTATTTGTTTACTGATACTGTGCTTGTCTCTCTCTGCCAATTTCCAATGTTCCTTGACTTCACCTGTCCAACCAATTTTCAATCCTCTCCTGTCCTCCTGACTGATTGCAAACCTTACCACTCACGTGTCACCAACCTCCTAATACTGTGAATATGTTTCCCTGCCTGCCTGCCTATTTGATTCTCATTAGCTTGTGTCTCCCCACTTGACTGTTTCCTGTTGATCTGCCTCTCTCTTTCAGCCTGAGTTCAAATGGTTGCATTCGTCACACAGTTTTTGAATAGAACTTTGGCATGAAATATATTTCTCAGGTGTTGGCTGAATCAGTGATGCATTAATTCAAATATGTATTGTTTAATTGTCTATCTGATCGTTCTTTTTGTGAGAGCCTCATTGCTGCAGTGTTTTCATCCAGCTGAATTGACTGATTCCAAATTCTAATCCTTGGGGCGGTCACAATGACTAATGAAACGGTTCCCTCAGGAATAGAATATCGAGATAGTCAGGTATACCTTGCTGCAAGGGACAAAGAGATCACGAGGTAGCAAATTTAATGACAATCGTATATTCTGACCAAAGTAAAGATAATCATCTTGGATTGGCATGCATATATTAAAAGTGGGGCGGGGGGGGGGGTCAGTGGCTCCCAATGTTGGTGTATATGGTTAATTTTTTCCACTTCATTGTAACTTAACTGCAGTCACATCAATAACATTTTCCTGCAAGATGTATTGACTTCCCACAGCCAAAAGTTTATGAACAAACATTTTTGTTTATGAACACATTGGAATAAAGTTTTGGAATTTATATCGGGAAATGTGGGGCAGTAGTGAATCACGACGTATAATCATTGACTGACATGTTAGTAAACGCATTTCTTTGTTGCATTCTGCTAAGGATTTAAGAGCAGTATTAACAGAGCATGTTGATCTGATCACTGCTAGGTATGTCTGTACATGTGTGCAACACAGTCAGACAGTGTCAGTATAGTTCTAATATAAACAGGGAGATGGGGAGGGAGGACAACCAGAAATACAGTAAATACAGAAAACAGCAGAGTACTAATGAATTCACTGGCAGGATCCCATTTGTACTTTTGTTTTAGGCTGGTATTTGGCTAAGTTAAAATGCTGTTTGCTGCCAATAAGTACAAGGCCATAGCTGAGGAATGGAGAGGAAAGGAAAGATTGTAAAGGAGGGTGGGAAGATTGGAGCAAGTGATTGAAAATTTGTTTGGAGACTGGATTGCTGGAGGATTACTGGAGATCAGACTGTGGGTCTATGGATAGTTTCTGGAGATAGATAGAGGGGACTGTGTGAGCTGATCATGGTACTCAGTCTGGAGATCATGAGGAGAGTAGTACAATGTCTTGGGATGGCCAGGGTGAAACATTCCTGTTCTCCTTGGCCCACCAGCAATGCTGCAAGGTAATCTTTCTGTTAGATCCAGAAGTTCTCATCTCCCTTTAACTGCTGGATTTCCAAGACATGGGAAACCCGGCCTGGACAGTTCGTATTGAAATTGCTGCTAAAACATGAAGCATGCAGGCTTATTGACATAGTACAAATATCAACCTGCCTCTCAAGACTATGCAACTCAGCTAACCTCCAGACCTCAATGGTGAACCAGGAAGTAGCAACATCTGCATTTGGTTGAAATCAGATTTCCCATTTTTATGCCATTTTAACCCAACCCTGGCCACTGTTCCACACCTATTCGGGTAGTGGTGGGGAGTTAAAATTCACTCCCAATAGCGTGAACTACAATGTAAAAAAAAGTGGGGAATTTTATGTGGATATGATAACCCTGACCTCAGCTTTAAAGTGGAGAACTAGCCTATGTTCACATAGCCAGGAAAGATCCAGCTGATGTATTGGCTGTCGGATTGTTAACCGAATCAGCGTTAAACCTCCACCTTCAACTGGAAGGAAGACTCAGCTCTGAGAGCTGCTGGTAAGGAAGAAACCCTTAAATGACTATTAATTAGCCTCTTTAAGAGTTTCAATGGCCAAAGGGTCGGGAGTCAGGCTGCCTGAAGTCTCTCTGTCACTGGCAAAACTACAGTAGAGGTGTGTAGTCCCGAGCATAATCTCCCCTCTGCCCCATCCACCCTACCCTGCCATGGTATCTCCAAATGCTAAGGGTGCATTGAGACAAACTTAATACTCCACGTATAATGAAAATTTGACCAGTAAACATTTGAAGATGTAGGTTTAAAGTTATCTGAAGAGACCCTTTTGATGAGTAACTTGCAGGCACTGACAGAAAGGTTAGTTGTGCATTAATAGACTTAATATATGGGAAAAAAGATCTGATCACAGATGCAGTACTAATATATTTGTAATGAATAATAATGAGGAACATATTTCTGGAAATAAAACTGTAAAGTTTTAGCATTAGGACTAAGGTTTTAACACAAATATTAAACTCATTGGTGTAATACATCACGGAGAGACACATCAGAGACAGAAAAGACAGATCATCATCTTGGTATTATAGTGAGAGGCTTTTCAATGTGTACTTTTGAAAAGAATACGTGGGCTGATTGTATACTGGATTGTGACAGCAGAATTGGTTCTGTTAATAGGTGTTTCTAATCTGGGCATTTTTTCTTTGAAAACTTCAAGTGAAAGGGATCTTTTCTTGAAAAATAATGAGGAGCAAGCATACTGGTGAGAAGGCCCTAAATTTGCTAGATTAGTAAAGTAGGCATTTGCCCTTTCATTTATTTTACGTATGTGATTTCTTGTTCACTTTGATGTTGCAGGATATGACCCTTCAGTCTCACTCAAAGGAGTACTGTGAAGTGACATGGAAAAGTGAATCATAGCCAAAGCATCCATGTCCTGATGAACTCTTGCAAAGTCATTAATTACTGACCAATCACGAGAAAATTACGTGATTCATTCCAGAGGTGCATTGTTGAATCAACTTGCAGTTGTTACACTAGATCTAGTGCTATGTTAGGTGGACAGGCTGTTTGACAGAGATAGTGTTTGTAGGACTGGGCTGGAGCCAGTAAAGTATATACCTGGGACAAAAACTGCTACAACAGTGTGTACAGGCACTGTATGTCTCATTTGCTGACAAACACTGGCTGCTTGTGAATTTCTCCAGCCAGTCTTTCAAAAGCACCCTAGTGAGTCAGAGAGAAACATCATACAAGTACAGGAGCAAATAATTTCTAAATAGTTTAACTTTTGAAAAAAACAGGAATAAGTAGAAGAAACAAGCCCTTAACATAGATGGAAAGTTCTTCTTGACAATAAATTGGAAATGTTGAGAGGATAAAAATCATAATAGAATAGTAAAAGATGATTGGCAAATCAAATTTAGGACTAATTGTACTAAATATGATTATAATTAAGTGATTGAGAACCATTACTGATGAGAATAATGGAAAGAAATGTGACAGGTAGTGCATGCTTATACCCAAGACTTTTAAACATAATATGGATATAGAAGATAAATCTTCACAACAGCTTTCCCATTTGCCCTTTGCAATTTCAGTGGGAGGCATGAAAACTGTGTTAAAACACACATATTTATTCCATCTTTTCAAGGATCCTGAAGCATTTCAACCAATGCTGAAGTGGATGAATGGGACAAATCCCTCAGAAATGTCACTCCAGCAACCTGCGTTATTACTACAGTACATTGAGAAAGTATGAGGCTTTACATTTAACAGGTTATATCTAGTATTATTCCTGAATAACTGAGATATTCAGTCATAGAGTTATTACACAATAGAATTAAGGGTGAGAAGCAGGGCTTTGTGAGCCTTGTTGTCAGTAATAAATTGATATTTTAGATTACTACTTCAACTATAATGAACCAGCATTGTCAGGGAATGAAAATTTGTCTCAGATGTTGAACGTACTTACAGGTAATTGTTAAGAAGTAATATATCTTTGTGATATATGTATTTCTAAGACATTGGCCCATTGATCATTTTGCAGTGAACTTCTTGGATGTTTAATATTATGTGAAAGAGGATTTAAAGGCAAATGTTATCATTTTTGTTAACTGGATCTCAGGCACTATTGTACAGTATTGCTCTGAAGTAAGATGCTTCAGTAGTTTCTTCTCTGTTTTCACAGAACTTTCATCTAGAGATGATCTAGTCACAGAAACATGGTGATGGTAAGTCAGCTTGAATACAGTTTTGCCCTGGTACTTCGTTTCATACTCAATTTTGTACATACTGCAAAAATATTGTATAAGGACATTGTGATGGTATAGTGTGGCTTATTTATAACAATTTAATAAAACACAAGTGATAGATGTTTGTACAATTAATTTACTAAGAATCCATAGTTTTCCATGTTACAGCTGTGGGCTTTTATAAGGCCAAAGCGAGATGGTTTGTTCCACCACCAGCTACTCCACACAGAAACTAATAGCTTTTGGAGAAAAAGGAAATCCCTTTGTCATGCATTATACAGCATCATATATACAAGAAACCAACTGTGAAACAAAGATTGCTGAAAGTAATGGACAAACAACACGAAGATATCTCACAGTACTTAAATGAAGCATTTGAAAATAAAGTTGCTCAGGAGAGAGCATTTAAATTTAACTTTCACTGTGGCTTAAAATTTGTTCAGCTGTCTTTTTTATTGAGTACATTTTTGATTTTTGGACATAATTCATTAGGATTATCCAATATACTTCATGTAATATTTCCTCTTATAAATAAAAATGGGTGTTTTTAATTTGGGCATAAATGTACCATCCCATAACATCTCAAAAGGATAGATCCAATTCAGAAATTATCTTAACAAAATAAAACTTGCAACAACTTCTTCTGCATGCCTCGTTTGCATACATAGAATTGCATCCAAGGAGGAATTTAACAAGGAAATACACAAGAATGAAAAGATTGTCAAAAAAGATAAATTAGGATTATTAATAGAACTTATATACCACACTAATACAAGGACATTTTCTTTTTAAGCAGTTGGCAGCCATTAAAGAAATAAATTATCTAACTCACTCATCTCCACAATATTTTACTGTCAAGTGTATATATATATACATTACATTGATGAAGCGCCAAATAGGTTCCGCATTTAACAGGGACACACCTAGCAATATTCCTACATATCTCACTTAACATTATCAAACAATGGTTACTCCATATTGCTTGTGAACATATAGAAATTAATTTAGAAATAAATGGTTTAAATAAGTGCTAAATTTTCACACAGCTGAAGTTTCAATCTGACTGATAACAGTTCCCTCATTTCAATTACATGGAGTTGAAAAACAAGATCCTATTGTGGCTAACTGAACAACAGAGTGGTACATGCATTTGTTACCAGGCTATGTCAAAATTCAGCTTCTAACTCTAACTGTGATCTAATCTTCCTCCTCATCTTCTTCATCACTGTCTTTCATTGTAATCCCTTGAAGACCACCACCTTCAGAAACCGATGCTGTTGCTTCTTCTACAGTCAGTCTGTTACGAATTGTCTCATAGGTCTTACTGTTCAAGGTTGAATCCAGTACTCCTTGCAGCCGAAAGTCTCGATAAGCTTTCTACAAGAATACAAATGTATAGGACTTGACATTTATTCACTGGCAGAAGCATCATTGTACCTTACAAATAACTTTTTTCTATTATGCCGAATAATATCCTATAATTTTAAAGTCATACAAAAGCATTCTTAAGCACTTCATCATCACAAAACTTATGAAGAGTGAGCAACATTACAGATATTCATATAAAGTGCTTCTTAAAGAAATTTCTCATTGGATTAAACTTCTTAGTTGCAAATATCAGGGTTAATATTAAATATAAGCTTTTTATGTGTTGACTTTCCCTCTGCTTTAATAATCATTAAGAAGAATATCCCCTTTTGACTGTTTACACAAATACAAACATTGCGCTTATGGTACTAAGGGTATTGGAAAGAGTTTCACAATCTAGTTCGTAGAGATTTCTAACCTATCTATGGGAAAGAAAAGATAGAATCGGAAAAAGGAAATATTTGCACCATCATGCGATTATCTGTAGGAAAACTGTATAAAGGTGTAATATATTACTGTCTCCCATGTTAGGTACATCAGAGTATTTTCTCCAGTATTCTTCAGTGGTGACAAATGGACAACATGCTCTCATGCCTTCTGCTTTAGTTTCTGAATCCCAGCTCCTAATATCAGATCTACCTCCTTATGCTTCTTTGAGGTGAACGGCTGTTAATCATCAACATTTCACTAGAATATGGCAGATCTGTCTGGTTTATCTACTGAGTCAAGCTTGCTGCATTGGACTGCAATTCCATTGCCTGGAATTTTCTCTTGGAGTCACCTTGACCGTAGATCATCCCCAAAGAGAACAGTCATTAGATAACCAACAAGCATAGAGACCGTCCTTGGTGTACCATGGCAGATACCTCAGATTTCTCATAAGGGACAGGTAAAAAACACAAAGCATCATAAAATGTGTGAGTCTGTTCTTTTCATCCGCAGTAGACACATCAGAAGCAACTGAATGGTGGTTCCATCAGCTGACTTTAGCAACTTCTGTAGTAGTTACTTGTCATTCGTTATGTATCTCAATTAATGTAACACCAGGTGTTGGATGTACAAACACCTATTCCCATATTCAACCTTTGAGTGGCTTGTTTTTACAATGGTCACAGAATGTGGGTGGCATGGCTAGGATTTTTGGCCATTCCTAATTGCCTAAAAGGCAGTTAAGAGTCAAGTACATTGCTGTGGGACTGGAGTCACATGTAGACTAGACCAGGTATGGATGGCAGAGTTCCCTCCTTAAAAAGCATTAAGTGAACCAGATAGGTTTTTATGACAATCAACATGGTTGCCATTAGGCTGGCTTTTTATTCCAAATTTTTACTGAATTCAAATTCAATTGGTGGGATTTGAATCCATGCCCCCAGAACATTAGCCTGGAGTTCAGGATTACTAGTCCAGTGACATTACCATACACTGGTGCCTCCTCATCACATCTAATTCTTTTAGCCTCATCAACTGAATGATGGACATCTGCCTTTAGTACTATAGAAAAACCTAGCATGCAGTTTGTGACTATCAGCATCTTGAACAGCTTAGAAATCCAAGTGACATACCACACTCCAGGTCCACTCAACGTAACCTGTTTAGTTTGGGTCTTCATAGAAAGGCATTGGAAATAGTTATGATTTTCTCTTTAGAGATATGCAGCCAACCACCATGTCACAGTTTCCTCATTTTTATAAGATACAATTTGCTTGTAAATCTCACACATTGGCTGAAGGAAATTCTTTCCATTATATGCTAAAAAATTTTGATCCATAAAGCCAGACTATTTGGATATATCTTAAATATGTCAAACATATCCTGCATTTGGATGTTATTGTCGTTGAAGAAAGATAAGAAAGTCTAATGCTTCCTTAGCCCTTCTCAGAGGATCAACGTTAGTCTATCCAGTTGGCATCCATCAGATCCCTGGGTATTGATACAATCCAACAATTGCTACAGATGCTTTCAGTAACTTTCAATTAATACCTACTTTTCACAGTTGCTTTTGTTTATTATTAGGATACCTAAATTAAAGTGAATCAATTGAGACATTTACAACTAACCGTCAACTTCTCTACGCCTAAGTAACTGTACATGATCTCGGAAACTTATAAGAAGCAAAAACAAAAAGAAATGTGTTACTAGAGATCAGGAAGAAAAGACTTTGACCTAATCTACAGGCTGATTAAATGTCTTATTGCTGCCATGATAGACTTATGGCCCATATTTTAAAACTGATGCACCACTGGTCTTTACTTTAAGGAGTTCAGTATTGAATCCAGATGATATTTGAATTTAAACAGGCTTGAGATATGAAAGATTCAATGTCCAGCAACCTTGCAATTAGTAACTTATTTATTTGGTATTTTCTGCTTTCAGTTTGAAGTTTCAGTCAATCTCACCATATACCCAACAATAACTGCAATGATGTGTTGGCCCAGTTGTTTCTACGTAGCATTCATTTGGCAGCCTGACCAAGAAACATGAGTAAAGCAATACTTAGGTATGAGTTAAGGTTGAATTTGAACCTGGTTGGGAATTAAGAATTTGAGTTAAAGTCTTCAGCCTTACATTTTGCAACATCTTTTGTTTTGACATTGCACAATGTGATATTAATACTGTATTCAATATTGAGTTCTTATGAAATTCTTCGGTGAAGACATTGCATATTTATTTGAATTGAGCTAAGAACTATATTATAATAGCTGAATAAAACTGCACATTGTACCTAGCTACCAATGTGGTTTACTGTTGGTTACAGACCAGGTTTCTCATTAATGTCCTGGTTAGATACGCTCCTTCCTGTCACTCACAGAACTCTTCTAGAAGTTCTGAAGTGCCTTATCGATGTTGTCTTTTTGCAGCACCAACACATCATTCTCCTCTGCAGCCAAGGCTAAAGCAGCCAGAGAAAGCTGGTGGATAGGCCATGTGCTGGGCTTTGGTTTCAGTGTTGGGGGATGGCACAGGCCAGGAGCCGAAGGACAGTACTGGACACATGGGTTTTTACGGTCCAACAAATCTCTGCTCCAGCCAAGGACCAGTTCTGAGGCTGCCAGGTTATGAAGGCAGAACCTGTACTAACCTTGAAACATTCTGAAACATTGTTAAAAATGAGCAAGTAATACAGGGGTAGATTTGTTATGACATTGTGGTTAATCAGAGACTGTAGTTCACAGTTTTAAGAAAAAGGATGATGTGTCCTAAAACAGTCACTGCATTATTTGAAGGACAGCTTATTTATGATCAAATTTTTATTAAATAGCAGACTAGAATTTTAATGGATGTTTTGACGATCAAATTCAGTAATTCCGTCCAATATTCTGTAAACAATATAAATCAATTATTTTGAATATTATACCTATTCAATTTTTACTTTTTGAAAGCCAGAGATAAAGAAGTGGGTGCAGTCAGTTTTAGGTAAGCATTACACATGCTGCAACACTTCTGAATACAAAACGGGCTGGTAGAGATACACATCCTGTCATCGCCTTTTGCAAATTTGTGAAACTGTAATCTCACCAGGAAGAGGGACATTGATAGTGCTAAGGACCACAATGCAAAGCAACTCAGAAATGGCTCTATTTATAAAGTGTGGTTTCCAGCCTTGTCAGAAAATCATTCAGTATATGCACGGGTTGGGATTCACCGACCCCAGGCTGACTGCTCCACTCTGAGTGATGCCGTAGTGTTGTTATTCGCTTATGTACATTCTGCATGCTCTTTCAAAGCATACCCTTAACAACTATTTTATTAGCTACAGATCTGAATAAATATCTTTCTGCCTGCTTCTATTTGTTACCCTGCTCCTCCAACCCAGTTTTCATGCTCAACAGGAAATTATGGAAAGAGCATACAGGAAAGTGGAGGATAGGAAAGGTGAGAGTAAGGAACAGACAAGAAAAACACAGAATAATACATCAGGAAAGAGATAAGACAGAACGTGGAAAAGCAGAATCAAAAGAGATGAGAGAAGCACAAGATAATGAGAGGTTAAGAGAGGAGCATACCGGAAGAAAATGAAACAAAACCTTAAGGATGAGTCAAGCAGATAAAGAGAGAATGAAACAAACAGGAATGACAGAAAAGAAAGAAATGAGAGAATAAAAGACAAGAAAGAGAACAATCATATTCAGGAAGGGAAGAGAGAACAGAAAAGAAGATGCCAAAGGGAAGAGAGAGATTTGGAGAAAAGGGAATGAGTTTTGTGAGATAATTAGAGGGAAAGACTAAACGTAAAGGAATAAGGAACACTTGTAGATGAAAAAACTAATACGTACAGTGAGAAGGACTCAGACAAAGGAAAACACAAAGGGAGTGAAAAAGTAAATGGATGGAGGGAATAAAATTAAAGAAAAACAGTGGTAGCAGCAGGAATAAATAGAGGAGATTAGGGGGAAAGAAAATGAGAAGGGATGGAGATAAAGAATGAAATGAAGAGTCTCAGAAGGTGAGAAAGGCAGAAGGAAAGAAGCAGAGTGACAATATCAGTAGTAAGACGATGAGGTGTGGAATGCAAGGAAACAGAAACAGAAGTGATGGAGGAACATTCTTAGTTATGGGCATGATTGTACTTTTCATGCAGGTATTTGCAAAGAAAAAGAAGAAGAAAAAGAAGATGAACTAAATTTAGGTGACACTTACTGACGAGATCGATTTGCGAATGAGCTTCCAGCATATGTGGGCTTTAGAAATCTGTATTTATTTACTCTGATAAAATTAGGAGTACTGGCCCTGAGGGGTATCCTCAGATTGGGAGGATTAGGTAAGGGTGCTGAAATTTAGAAACATTTTGGTGTGAGATTTCAAGACTGAGGCATTGTGATGTTTAAGAATAAAGGGGTTCTTCAGATTTAGCAGAAGTTTGTGCAATGTATTAAACTGGGATGGAAACTGGACTGCTTGGCTTTGTGAACTACTGTAGCTAGTTATGGGATTGAGACTGTCTTTCGTCAAAGTGATGTATTGATCAGCCTTCTAAAGGTTCTAGCAGATTCATCTTGGTGTGGCCAGAG